CCACTTCCGGCTTTTTTCTTTTTGCTTATGTGGTGCTGAGGAATCGAACTCAGGGCCTTGAGCATGCAAGGCAAGCGCTCTACCACTGAGCCACCTTCCCAGCCCTGGATTCAACTTCTTTCCACAGGACTTCTTCAGTGGTAGCTGTCCCTTGTATGGGGGGGTGGCTTTTGTGAATGGCACCTCCCTGGCTTTATCCTGCCCCTCAGCTCCATCCCTCTGCTACTTTGTGAGTGGGACTTCCGGCTTCCTGGCTCTCTATTGCCTCCTGCTTCTGATCTGGATCTCCTGCAGCTGCATCAAGAATTTCAACAGGTGATTGCCCCACTCTTTGAGGACCAGGGGCTGAGGTAGGATGAATCACATCTCAAACAAGGCTTGTCTCCTCTTCCTCAGCTGTCCAATAGGGGTCTACATTGGATTGCCCATCTCGGCTATTGCAGCCTTCCTGGTTTTAGTGACTGCCTGTGTCCTTCGATATGGTACCAGCTCTCTCTGTGATTCCATCATCTCCCAGAAGCATACAATTAGGTAAAGGGAGAGGCAGGAGTTGACTGCATTCCTTCTGCAGGGGGAAAATGATGTAACTTCCCATTTACCAATCTAAGCACTTAGGGTTTGCTCCCTTTTGCTCACAACTGTCTTTTTTGACCTCACAGCTGTTCTGAAGCCCAGAAAATCCCGTGGACACCCCCTGGAATGGCTCTGCGGTTTTATTCCAACCTACATAATGCTGAAGTGAGACTCAGATTTGTTTAAGTACCTGTAGCTGCATGAGTACTGCTGAGAGGAGTTGAAGTGTCATTTTGACACAATAGACAAAAGCTGGTGTGTGGGGGAAGACTAGATCTGAGCTCCATGCCTCACACTTCGCTTCTCTCTTACAGACCTCTTCTTGGGTGAATCTGGTATTGTGGTGTGTGATCCTAGTGCTCCAGATCATACAGTGCAATCTCAAATCCAGCCAGTATGAGCCTTTAGAGAATAATGGCCCTCAAGGAACTGCGAGAGAGATTTTCATTGAGTCACACACATCGACCTGGATGACTGAAGACTGGCCTGAATGGACCTTGAATTTCTGATCACCTATGTGCCTTTTGCAGCCAGACTACCGCTAACAATCCTTGTCTATGCTGGGAGCCCGTTTTTCCCTCATCAGAGAAATGTGACAGACACCCCCTACTTCCAATAGCTGTTTTGTACCAAAATATGACATTGCCTTTTTGTTGTTGTTGTCAGTCTGACAACAAACTGGGGCCTGAACTCTGGACCTGGGCACTGTCTCTCAGCTCTTCAGCTCAAGATGAGTGCTCTACCACTTGAGCCACAGCGCCACTTCCGGCTCTTTTGCTTATGTGGTGCTGAGGAATCAAACCCAGGACCTCATGCATACAGGGCAAGCGCTCTACCACTGAGCCACCTTCCCAGCCACACATTGCCTTCTTCATCCTGATATTCATTGGTATTAAAACAAATAAGTTGGAAGAAGGAATAAAAGGCTAAACCAAGCATGGATGCATCAGGCAGTTACCCTTTGGAAGACTCCTTTATTTGTTGTTAATGAATCCTGGGCCCTCTTTTGTGACCCATGTCACAAAATCCTTAAGTTTTCATCCCCCGCAAGGTGGTTTTTTCACAAGTTCCGATAGGCTCCCACAGTGCCGTCAAAGAGCTGAGCATTGGGAAAGTGTCCAGCTTTGTCCAAGAGGAAGTAGAAGCGCCGGCCTTTGACTTTCAGAGGTAACATAGCAGGGACTTCCCCTCGGTGAGCCATGCAAGATACCTGGTTCAGCGGAACAGTGAGGTGAGTCCTCAAACCAAAAAGACCATGAGTGGTCAAAGTCACCTGCTGCCCTCCAGCTCGAAGCATCACTGAACGCACAGATCGGAGAGAGAAGAGAAAGCCCCCACCAAGTATCAAGGTTCCTGTAACAACAACAACAACAAAGAGTTGAGTTTTCACTGTAGGGTTGAGTTACTTCCAGTGTCTTATTGTGATGACAGTAGTTTTGAGCTCTTACAACCCCAGTCTTGTGTAGTCCATCATCAACTATTTACATGTCCGTCCCCATTTTATACAAATAACCTTACAACCACAAAAGGAGCAGCCCTACCGTAGCTATTCCGCATTCCTACCGAGGCAGGTCCCTATCACCCTGCTCCTCAGGGAGGGCACAAGTCCCTCTCTCCCTTTACTTGAATGAAGGTTTTATACCCACCATCCCACGAGCGGTGGGGAAGCCAGTTCAGGCCTTACCAATGGTACCGCAGCCCACAGCCAGTGCGTACCGCCAGAGCGCGGAGCGCAGGTCGAAGCGGCCCTGTCTGGGGGCCCCAGCGTCTGGAGGTGTTGCAGAGAGTGGAGGTGGGGATAAGGCTGCTACGGTCAGGGAGGCCCAAAAGACACCCTGGCCCGCGCAGAACAGCCCAAGGATGGTGAAAAATCGGCCCCGCTCGTGCTCAAAGAGCAGCAGGTCTCGTGATGGGGCCTTGTCGTGCAGAGGTCGGCGCGCGGGCAGCAGCCGCAGAGTGACTCTCAGCCTGGGGAGCCGCCGTATCCAGGACGCAGCCATGGCCTGTGCAGGGCCGCTTCCGGGGCGGAACTTCCTCTCGCGAGAGCCCACCTCCCCGCCCCGCCCGCCGCCCCGCCTCCTGCCCCGCCAAGGCCGTCCCAGGAACTGAGACAGACAGTGTCAGGAGACAAAATACAATATCACTCTTTATCTTAAAAAGGAAGGGGAATCCTGGGGCTAAGTACACAAAGCACCTAAGTCCTTCGGGTAGTTTAGTGTCAGTTCTACAAAGTAAGCTTTGGCTTCCTGGCACCATGAGGCTCAATCTTCCGGAAGTCTCCACGCAGTCTTCCAGAAGGCAGGTGAGGAGAGGTGCTCTGCGGAGCTCCACCCTCGGTCACAGTCACAGGTGGCCTCGGGCCAGACAGGAGACAACAGATGGCAACCATATGATCATATCCACGGGCTATTTACACAGGGGCTTCTTGTGGGCTGATGTGGATCACTTCATGAATGCCACTTCTGGGATCTTACCCTTGGCCTGGAGGAAAAGGAAAGGTCACTGGAGCCAGGTGCGCCCTTTCCTGAAAGCTCATGATAGCGCTCTGCACCAGACCCTCCAGAAGGGCCAGAGACTCCTTCTGGTATTCGCAGCCCTACCTTGAGATGAGTGAAGGCCTGGGCAGATCTAGTATAGTCCCAGTTGTTGTCCTGAAGGCACCTGGAGGGTGGCGCGGGGAGGGGGAGGGGAGTGAACAGGGGAAAGGAGAAGATAGCACAGCATGAGAACCCTTACTCTCCACTAAATGTCCCTTCAGAATCTAGCCTACATTCTACTACACGTGCACACACACACACACACACACACAGTACTGTTATTATTTACAGGAAGAAAACAACAGAAAATAGCTGGGTGCCAGTGGCACACACCTATAATCTTAGTTACTCACAAGGCTGAGATGTGAGGATTGAGGTTCAAAGCCACCCCAGGCAGGAAAGTCCATGAGACTTCAGTAAATTAACAAAAAAGCTGGAGGTGGAGCTGTGGCTCAAGTGGTAGAGGACCAGCTCTGAGCAAAAGCAGCAGCTCAGGGACAGAGCCCAGGCCCTGAGTTCAACCCCAGGACTGTCCCCTCCCCCCGCCCAAAAAAATAGTAAAAATCAAAATGTCTACCTATTGGTAGGCATCAAATATTAAGAAATATTGAGGGGCTGGGAAGGTGTCTCAGTGGTAGAGCGCTTGCCTTGCATGCCTGAGGCCCTGGGTTCGAGTCCTCAGCACCACATAAGCAAAAAGAAAAAAAGCCAGAAGTGGCGCTGTGGCCCAAGTGGTAGAGCGCTAGCCTTGAGCTGAAGAGCTGAGGGACAGCGCCCAGGCCCAGAGTTCAGGCCCCATGCCGGACCCCAAAAAAAAAAAAAAAAAGAAATACTGATTTTTCAAGCGTTTTTATAAAGAGTTAACATGGTTTAGAAACTAGGTCTCAGCAGTACAAAGAAAAAGACTAGAGCCAGGCATAGTGGCATGCACTTGTGGTCCCCACCTCTGGGGGCAAGGCAGGAAGGTCACTTGACCCCAAGAGTTCAAAACTACCCTGAGTACATAGCAGGAATCTATCTGGAAAAACTTTCCAAAAGGGACTTCATTTTGGTTTTAGAAAAATTTGTTATATTGAGGTCCTCTTTGAGCCTTATCAGCAAAAAAAAAAAAAAAAAAAACACAGAACTTATTCCAAACCATTATTTCTCTCTGCCAGTCCTGGGGCTTTTACTGGAAGTGGTACTGAGGAATCGAACCCATGCTAGGCAAACACTCTACCACCAAGTCACATTCCCAGCCCTCAAACCATTATTTCTTTTCAAAACAATGACTTAATTTCCTTCCATTTAATCTCTCCTTAGGAATGTACCTATGTATTTCAAGGGGCTAATAAAAAACACAGTAAAAAAAAAAAGGTCTCCTCCCCCGCTTAGCCCTTATCTGTTTACTATTCCCCCCTTTTTTTCTGCCAGTCCTGGGGCTTGAACTCAGGGCCAAGGCACTGTTGTGGGGTTTGAACTCTGGGCTTGGGTGCTGTCCTTCAGCTCTTTAGCTCAAGACAAGTGATCTACCACTTGAGCCACAGTGCCACTTCTGGTTTTCTAGTGGTTTATTAGAGATAAGAGTCTCAGATTTTCTTGTGGGAGCTGGCTTTGAACTGTGATCTTCAGATCTCAGCCTCCTGAGTAGCTAGGATTACAGATGTGAGCCACCGGCGCTGTCCCTGAGCTTCTTTTGCTCAAGGCTAGTACTCTACCACTTGAGCCACAGTGCCACTTTCACTACCACATACTGTATGTGTAGTCAAGAATTGAACCCAGAGCTTCATGCATGCTAGGCAAGCCTCTATCACTAAGCCACATTCCCAGCCCTCTCAGTTTGCCCTTAGCACTCACTTCTGGGACCACTCCAGGTTCATGCCAGACTGTGTAGAGAATGCTTGCAGCATTTCCTGCTGTTCCGGGGACAGGGTGGGCACTGGGCTGGAGGAAGGTGTGGGTGCAGGCATGGCGAAGGCTCTTTGGATCTCTTCAGGGCTGGCATTCCGCACAAACAGCTCGTCGTTTACAATACATAGCCTTGAGGACAAAGAGCGCCTTAAACAGTTGGACAAACAACCTCTCATCCCTTCCCTGCATATGTGTGTGTGCAGGCGTGTGTGTGTGTGTGCAGGCATGTGTGTGTGTGTGTGTGTGTACCTCAACGTCTCTGCTCAAGGTTAGTACTCTACCACTAAAGCCACAGTGCCACTTCCAGCTTTTCCCTTTGGTAGTTAACTGGAGACAAGAGTCTTACCAACTTTCCTGCCTGGGTTGGTTTTGAACCACGATCCTCAGAACTCAGCCTCCTGAGTCGATATGATTACAGGCATGAGGCACTAGCACCCATCCATTCTTCCAAGTTTTTAAGACACTTGACATACACACTCTTCTTAATATAACCACATGGTGCCCCTTCTCAACTTTTAGCTGTTCCTTTTTATGGGTAACTCCCCTCCCTGGACTCTATATTTAGAAGGACTAATTCAAACATCAAGACTTAGATAATCTCCCTCAACCCATTGACAATTATTACATTGTGTGTGTGTGTGTGTGTGTGTGTATGGAATGGCTAGCCTGGTACTTACTATAACTTACTGTATTGCCCAGGTTGGCCTCAAATTCAGTCTTCCTGCCTCAGGTCCCAAGTACTGAAATTTTATGATGTATACCACCATGCTATTTTAGTTATTATCCTTTTCATTTTCTAATTTTCACAAGAAACTTAGGATGTAGATATTGTTACACACATCTTCAGATGAGAAGCTAAGAATGAATGGTGGCATACATACTGGCACCTGATGGTAAGGGAGGACTCCTGGCTGTTAAGGTGAAAGGCCAGGCTAGCTCAGAAAAAAAACACCAAGCAGAAATAAAATACAGATAATGAAACTGGCCTAAAGCTAAAAGTGCTGGAAGAATACACAAGTGCAAACAGGATGCCCAAAAATCCAGTACAGCGTCAAGCTTTTAACCACTACTGTAAGCCTTTGCTGCGATTTGTTGCCTTTCTGCAATTCTGAAAACTCCCCAAGAATGGACTCTGTCTTCCAATCATTATACTGCTGGCTGTGACCAATGCACAACACTTACCCTGAATTGCTGGCAGGAACAGCGATGAAGGTCCTGGTAAAAGCTCGCAGAGAATCCCTAGATTTCCCATCCACTGCAATGAGAAGAGCAGCAAGGACCTCTTATAGTTACTAAGGCTTTACATTTACAAACAGGTTCTTTTTTTTTTTTTTTTGCCGGTTGTGGGGCCTGAACTCTGGGCCTGGGCGCTGTCCCTTAGCTCTTCAGCTCAAGGCTAGCACTCTACCACTTGAGCCACAGCGCCACTTCCAGCTTTTTCTGCTTATGTGGTGCTGAAGAATCGAACCCAGGGCCTCATGCATGCAAGGCAAGCACTCTACCGCAGAGCCACCTTCCCAGCCCCACAAACAGGTTCTTATATCCTGGTCTTATATAAAGAACCAGGAATGATTATGTAAATACTGGGGAACAGATGTGGGGAAAGTGTCATGCCGGAGAGAACTACAGTTTACTAAGCTAGTGAGTGTCTCAGGTCATTTCACTGACTTCCATTGCAGCACACTATGGTAAGGCATTACTAACCGTAATTTACAAATAAAACAATAGGAGGGCCTGACTTATGCCTGACACCCTAGTTACTCAGGAGGCTGAGATCTGAGGACTACTGTTTGGAGCCAGCTGGGGCAGGAAAGCCCATAGAACTCTTTTTTATTTTTATTTTTGTTGGTGGTGGGGCCTGAACTCTGAGCCTGGGCTCTGTCCCTCAGCTCTTCAGCTCAACGCTAGTGCCTTACCACCTGAGCCACAGCAACACTTCCAGCTTTATCTGCTTATGTGGTGCTGAGGAATCAAACCCAGGGCCTCATGCATGCAAGGCAAGCACACTAACACTGAGCTACCTTCCCAGCCCACCCCCAGCTGCCCCCCAATAGAACTCTTATCTCCAATTAATCACCAGACAGCCAGTTTGGAGCTGTAGCTCAAGTGGTGGAGCGCTAGCCTTCAGCAGAAAAGCTCCCTCTATAGCACCGAGGCCCTGAGTTCAAGCCCCAGGACTGGCACAAACAAAACAAAACACTATCAATATGAGTGATACAACTTGCTCACAGACCCACAGAAATGAAGCACAAAAAGAAATCGCTTCACTCCAAAGTCTGTCTGTGTGTCATTTCCAGGCCTTTGTTTCTTAGCAGATAGGACAGGTGGATCACGGGTCAATTTAAGATGAGTTGGGGCAAAGCACAAAAGGGAAGAGGAAATGGCTGGGATGCTAAGAATCCCCAAAAAGATCTTTATTGGGGGAGGGACTACACAGTAAACTCAAGATTCAAAAGATTCTCACCTTCTTTGAAGACCCCATTGACAGAAAAACACAGCAATGTACTCTGAAAGAGAAGTACCAGGTACATTATAGGCTTCCCAGCCAGAGTCTAAGCAACCCCCTCAATAAATGCTGTCTCCCACCCCCACCCTTGATTCCAAACATCTGTTGGCTCAGAAATAGGTGCTTACTGTCTGGGCACTTATGTCTACCACAAAGGAATTGATGTCATGCTGAGTTTTGGGCAACTCATTAAGGAAGGCAACAACGTTGAGACGTGTGTGCTTCAGTAGACGGAACCGCAGGGCTGTGGGCGAGAGAGAAGAAAGTAAGGCTGGGGAGCCTGGCACCCCTGTGCTCTGAGGCCTCCCCATCCTTTGCCATATTATTTTGCTCCCATCCCACTTACTGGGGTCTTTTAGCTTCTTCACATTTCTGCTGTCCTTGAAGTACTCTGCCAAGTTGCTTCTGGAAGGATAAGAGGAAAAGCAGGTGGTAGTCAGAACAGGGTACTAGGTAGCCTGCATGTGCTGGGCAGCCTGGGGTCCTGGGCAGGCTCTGGGACGTGACACTCACCGGGCAGGATTCTGGGGGATGAAAGGAATGCTCAGTGAGCAGCAGGCCCCATCATGGTAGGCATCCAAGAGCCCCTGCCGGTCTCCAGAGTCATAAATTGCATAGTACCTGTGGGATGCAAAAAACAAATGCCTGAGCCTTGTGGTCTGAATCCGTGAAGGCACACAGCAAGCTCCCCAGAGTGAGCTCTGCTCAGGGGCCCTGGGATACTTACTGCTGCAGGAAGTGCAGGACCAGACTCTTCAGGTTTTCTGTTCCAAAATAGCTTCCCTGGGGGTGAGATTACCCAAGAAGAATTGTACTCGTTACCTTACTTATGGAATTGTAACCCCTCTGTACAACTCCTTAATACTAACAACAACAAAAAATCCACTCCCAGTGTCTGCAGCTCATGCCAACAATCCCAGCAACTCAGGAGGCTGATTTAAGGATTGCAGTTTGAAGATAGCCTGGGCAGGAAGGTCTGTTAAGACTCTTAACTCTAATCAACTACTTTAAAAAAAAGCCAATAGTGGAGCTGTGGTAGCCTGGAGCAGAAGCTCGGGGACCGAACCCAGGCCTTGAGTTCAAGTCCAGGATAGTCGCAAAACAGTTAATAGCAGGAATAATAATTCTGTAAACACACACACACACACACACACACAGAGCTTCCCTGGAGCCAAACAGCCATCAGGAACACAGGAACAGTGCTCCTCCCGCAAAAAGCTGCAAGTCCTCCCCCACTGCTCACCTTGCAGGGCGGCAACGTCGTGGGGGCTTCAACATCAAAGGCAATTGGTGGGGGTAACTCATGGCCATCCTGCCAAGTGAAAATTATGTTGTAGGGAGAGCAAAGGGTCAGAAGTCAACTGTTAAAAGAGGTTAAGCAAAGTGTCCAGCAGTCTGATAATGCCAACTTTTGCCTACAGGCATTTTTCCTGGAAGATGATTATTATCTTTATTGGATTCTCAAAGAGATACAGGTTTCCAAGTCAAGGGTCATCATTTAAAAACATGTAATACTGGGAAGTAGAAGATGCTATAGATACTTAATACAACAGAATGAAACAAGTTCTTAAAAAGAAAAGGGGCTAGGAAGTTGGCTCAGTGGTAGAGTGCTTGCCTCGCATGCATGAGGCCCTGGGTTCGATTCTTCAGACCATGTAAACAGAAAAAAGCTGAAAGTGGCGCTGTGGCTCAAGTGGTAGGGCACTAGCCTTGAGTTGAAGAGCTGAGGGACGGCGCCCAGGCCCAGAGTTCAGGCCCCACGACCGACAAAAAAGAGGGAAAAAATATGTGGACTTACTTACCAGGCGTAATAGCTTGGGAAATCGTTCGCGAATGGCGCTGTCAAGAACGGGACAGGAGTGAGTGATGCTTCAGAGCCACCATGCCTCCTGGGCTGCTCTAGGAGCAAATATACCAACACCCGAGGGACAGCCCATTCCATCCTGCTCATCACCCCGCTCCTCCCCAAAGTGTCCCCATTCCCCACCTCACTCGGGGCACCCTGTCTGGACTGCCTTGAAGGCGGTTTGTCTCTTCTCTCTCTGCCTGACCCCAAATGCCACAAAAGAGCAGCACTCCCGGCCTAGGCTTTAAGCCCAGGATCTCCTTCCCCTCCTGGCCCCCCTTACCTTCCACCTACTCACCTGAGCAGCCCCGGGAGGAGGGAATGGGGTGGGAGCCCAGGGGCTCCGCTGCCTCACCAGGTATCCATCAGTTCTGCGAGGTCTGGCCTTGGCCAAGACCAGAACACACCACAAGGATGGCACAGGATGATGGGGCAGGGAGATGAGCAAGACGGGGCTCAGGAGGAAAAAAGGCAAAGGACGAGAGGAAAGGGCAGAGCAGAGAAAGGCAGAGGCCAGGGACGGAGTGGAGAGCAAAGTTAAAAAGGAAGAAAGGACAAAGCAAAGCAAAAAGTGAAGAGGCCATAGGCAAAGAAGAATTTAGAAAAAAAGGAGGGGGAAACGACAAGAAATATGCCCCGGACACAGCCTTTTCCTTCGGCTTCCACTTGCCCCGTGGCCCAAGGTAGATAATGACAGAAAGAACCCCTGCTGCAGTTCCGAGTTGCTGTTGGCCAGGTCTCTGTCTGCTACCTGGGTCCCACTCTGAGCTGGGCGTGGGAAGCAAACAGCCATGGGGGCAGGAGACCTCCCTCCGAAGGGGTGAGGGTTCAGGCCCCTGCAAAGTTGGGGGGGTGAGGGTCTGTGCCCCACCTCTGTTGGCCCCCGAGCTCTCTCCTGATGGCCCCTATGCGACTGTGCCTGTCTTAGGTTGTTCCTTCCCTGAGGAATCTTACCCGTCTCTGGCTAACCAGCCATCCTCCGGGGCCAAGCAGGGTGACGTGAAGTGTGCGAGTGAGGAAGGGGCAGAGCCCCCAAGAGGCTCAGTTCTCGTCTCCTTGGCAGCGTATGCCCCCGTGGCCTCCACGCCCAGCACCTGCCTGGGGAGCCTCTCGCCTGCTGGCAGGGCCCCGGCTTTGGTCACATGTCATGGGGAACCCAGGTTTCTTTTCCAGGGAGGGCCCAGTTCACAGCACTGGGTCAGAGACAGATGGCATTGTACCAGCCTTTAATGAGACCGCAACCTCAGCATGGGGAGGAAGGCCCAGGCCGTGGCCTTGGGCAAGTACATTTTGAGAAGAGGGTCCCTCTTGCTACAAAGGCAAGAGGGGCCAGTACAGGGCAAAGAGGGAAGGTCCATCTCAGCAGGAAGCCCCAGTCACAGAGGGCTTTCTTAGCCCAAGGACACAAGGTACTGAGCTAACGGCAACCCCACACATGGGGCATATATGACACTCCCCCGGTTAGATTAGAAAAAGGGGAAGTGTCCTTCCTGGAACAATAGGGTAGGGAGATTCTAGAAAAGGCTGTGTTCAGGAAGGAAGGCGAAAGACCATAGACCAAAGACAATACTCTGGTGAGAAGAAAGAAAAGAGAGCTTGGGACAAAGCTAGGAGACACAGACAGAGGAAAGGAAAGAACACGTGGTCCTCCCAAAGTTTAGGTGGTTCCAGCTCAGGGTTGAATGGTCTCCTGCAGACGGGCACTGGTCAGGGTGCATTAGCTCAGCCTCCCAGGGGGTGAAGGTCCCCAGGAGGGGAGTCAGAGCCTACAACTGACCTGATGTAAGTGGATTGGTCTCGGAATGTGTCACACAGGGCATTTCCATCAAGCCACAACTCTTCTAGCTTCAGCCCTTTTATCTTGTCCAACTCCCGCTCAGACTTCAACTGCAAAGGACAGGGGGAAGGGGAAGAAAGAAGACTTTGTAAGTAGGTGGATCCGCAAGCCAAACCACCCTCATCTCTCAGTTCACCTCCCACGTGGCCAGCCAAGCTCCTCCCCATCCATTGTCTACCCCATCAAAAACACTGCCAGGATATCAATTCTCACTTCATTTCCGGAGAGATTTAGGATCTTCAGGTTGGGTGCCTTCTGCACAATGCTGGACATGTCATCCAGTCTATATAGCCTGTTGTTGCTCAAGTTCAAAGACAATAGCTGTGGGTAGAGAAGAGTTCAGAGGAAATCTCATCAGTGAAGTGGGTCAGGGCCAGATCTGACCCCTCATCCCATCCTGTCTGTCCCACTCCACCTCCTTAAGCCACTGCTGGGCCACAGCCTCACCTCGGGGATGTTCTCTTCAATGATTCGCAGGGTAGCTGCCATGCAGCTTCTCCGATTCAGGACAACGTCAATATTTTGGGCCACCAAATCTTCAGGAAGTATAAAGAAAGAAAAATCTGAGAAGGCTTGTCTAGGCAGTGTGAAAACCAAACCATCCTCAAACTTGCTCTGCCCAAGAGTCCCTTTCTCCATCTAGTGGAAAATCACTGCTGCCAGCCATACCTGGGTCTGAACGGAGACCCTTGAGGTCAAGAGCTTGCTGGGAACCATCATATCGTTTGCTCATAATCAGCTGCAGAGGAAGACAAAGGGTTCAGTGGTCACTGGACGTGTGTGTGTGTGTGTGTGTGTGTGTGTCTGTGGTGAGGGGGAGAAGTGAAAAACTGGGTTTGGAACACACGTTACTTTAACCTGTTTTACCTTGAGTTGCTCTACTTGCTCAGGCTTCAATTCATTCTGAACAGTAAGGGGTGGAGCAGAGGAATTGATGATGATAGATATCTGGAGAGAAGACATAAAGGGCAGGGTAGAGCCCAGTGAAGCCAAAGCTCTAGAACCAAGATAGAGTTCTCCTGTCCTGTATCTACCTCCAGCCACACCTGGCCCTTTATACATACCCTTCGGTTCTCTCCATCCTGGATCTTATAGTTGACAGCCTTTAAAGCAGAAGCAGTACTGGCATCCTCCACAAAGAACTGGGCCCGTGTGTTCTCATAATGAAACTGTAAGTGGAGGAAACAAGAGCCTTAGACTTGGAGGAGCCCACAGTCTGTCCCAGCGGCTTCCCACTGCCCTGCCCTTCCTGGTATAAAGCCAGCCAACCCACTCAGATCTTGCCTTACCTCAATGGGGGTAAAAGGGACACTGCATTTGCTCTGAATCATGCTCAGGAGCCATGCCTTGTCATACTTTCTGCCGTAAGGAATCTAGACACAGAGAGAAGAAGGGAACACTATGTAAATAACCTTGCACAGCCCACACAATCTTGCACCCTCTTTAAAAATTAGATTTTCTAGTTGAGTGCTGGTGGCTCATGCCTGTAATGTTAGCTACTCAAGAGGCTGAGATCTAAGCATCACAGTTTGAAACTAGCCTGGGTGGGAAAGGTCCCTGAGACTCTTACCTACAATAAGAAGCAGAGATGTGGCTAAAGTGGTAAAGCATTAGCCTTGAGAGAAAAAACAAAAACAAAAACACCTCAGGAAGAATGCCTAGGCCCTGAGTTCAAGCCCCAGGACAAGCAACAAAAAATAAAATAAAATGAAATGCCTAATTCTATAAATTCTAACGTATTATCTATACCTTGCCTGTCCCTTAGAGAACTCTAGAGAACTCCTAGATCTACACTCAGCTTAATCAAATTGAGTCATCCAGAGAAGTTACCTCCTGACCACATTATCCTACTTCTCTTCCTATCTTCTCCATTCCCTTCCTTGAACTGGTTCTTTGGTGTTCCTTTTCTTCTTCTTTTTTTTTTGGGTCCGGTTGTGGGGCCTGAACTCTGGGCCTGGGCACTGTCCCTCAGCTCTTCAGCTCAAGGCTAGTGCTCTACCACTTGAGCCATAGCGCCACT